TTATTCCTCATTCGTACTAGACCTTTTGTGTTAAAGTGGAAATATCACCTTACATACGACTAAATTTAGTAAGCGTGACCTATACCTACATATAGGTCACGCTTAATAAATTTAATTATTTAGTCATTCAAATTAAAGAAGTAAATCAAAATGCTACAAAAAATAGTATGTATGTAAGGTAAAGGTGAAAAGATGTTTGGTACTCAGGGTGACGCCCGCCCTGTACCAACGGCTGTTGTCGGCCGGCAGGGTCTACATAGACCTCCAAAGGGTCAGGGTGGAAGATCAAACCCCCCTGATCCAATGCACTAAGTGCTTGGCGTATGGCCATGGGCGAAAACTATGTACAGAGGCGGTGGACCTCTGCAACCACTGCGGAGGCCCACACCAAAAGGCTGAATGTCCACAACACCTGGCGCCCCAACCACCGACATGTCGGAACTGCACAAAGGCCAAATTAAGTGACACCGCTCACGGCGATCAACAAGATATGCTACTTATAACACAAAAGTATATAGATCTAATATAAAGCTGGTAGGTCTGTTTGTAGCCTGTTTATTCGATTTGAACATTATTGGCCACAGATATAACAAAGTCAATAAGACATGTGACATGGAACTGGAAACGGCTGGTGTCCCTCATTGCCTATTTTCTCAAGAACCTATTCAAATCTTGAAAAATAATCATCTCTGCAAAAGTATTTTTGTTCATTACTCAGACCAAACCTTGATTAAATTATGATAGTTAGGGTCGATCGGAATCCTATATTATTATTATTAAAACGTTTATAAGGAAATTACGCAAAGCCGGCCGACCTCAAAAACAAGTGCGACATGCCGAAACCAAAACGACGAGACCAGAGCCGAACGGTAGCCGATGACGTAATTATCTTATGAATGAAAAAATATATAAAAAAAGAAAAGGAAACCTAACAAAAGGTCGTTGAACAAAATCTCCTAGAATGTACAAAAATAACATAACTTCAGGGGCTTAGGGTTTATTTTTGATTGGAGTTGTTATGTTTTTATAGTGCAATTGAAAAACTTAGCAAGAATGATCATGAGTCATCTACGACTAGGAGATCATCGAGCGTGAACTGTAGTTAAGTGATGTTAAGATTCTGTAAGTAATTCGTAAAATTATAAATATCCGTGAATGTATGTTTACGATTTTACGCCTTAACTATACAATCAATCATAATAAACTTTTGATGGGATGACATGTCAGGGATGCATAACATTACCAGTGTCTTTTATCTAAAATATAAGTTTAATGCAAACGAAGACGCGGGATAACACTAGTAGAAAATAAACTAGTTAGTTCGGTTCCCGAGTCGTGCTCACTTTTATTTGCCTGCCGATGTTTGAGTATAGAGTGTAATACACAACACAACCTGCCTTTTCTGCAAGGACACAGCTTTTATAACAGCATGCAGTGTATTTACATTGAATAGTTAAAAAAAAGAAAACATTGCGCGGTACTCATATTAGACTATGGATGTTCCTCTCAATCGGTCTCGGCCTCGCTGACCTCGAGGCCGTCTTTAAAAATGCGATGCATCTGGAACTCAAAACTATATTTTAATTTATTATATCTTATCAGAAGGCATAAGTGACAACGCACTCTTTAGGGGGAATTGGCACGCAGAACGACCTCAGTCCTCCATAAGTGCAGGCCTGACAGATGAGGCCATCTCTCACCCTAGCAGAAGCAGGTCAGGGTGGTAACGACACGTCCGACATGCCACCGATAGGTGGTATCCGAGGGGATTTCCGCACGGAAAAAAAAAGGGTGGTAACGAGACGCGTTGCGACGCGCCCACTTTCGGGAGCACAAAGGGAACATGAGTGTTCCCACACAGGAGGGGGTCATCTACCCGCTGTAGATGACCCGGGGGTCATCTACCCGCTGTAGATGACCCGAGGTACGTCGGGGTACCAGGGATTTCCTTTCTAGGGTACACCTTGTTCCTTGCTACTGGTACCCGAGACGGCGTGCAGTTTTTAGTCGGTTCGAGTCCGACATAGCCACCAGGGGGAATTGGCAACCAGAAACGTAATGATTTTAGTTAAATTTGTGATTTTCTTAACTTTTTTAAGGATAAAATGTATGCAGGTAAAAAGTATAAAAGACATATATAGATACTCTAAGACGGTTAAATAAAAAGAATGTATACATAACATGGCATAGCATTTATTATCATTAAAATGATAACTATATTGTAACTTTAATACAATAAAAACAATATATATCTTATGGTTAAACTATTTCAATACGTATATTTAAACTCTTATAATTCTCTTTTCATTACTTGAGAGAATATTAATATATTTTCAATCATAATACATTGATAGCTTATACATACTAATTTAAAAAAAGTTTATTATGACGTTACTTCGGACAAAATGTTACTAAATTAATTTACTTGTAGTAGTATAACAATTACAGTACTTATTAAGAAGAGATACCCATAGCCCAGTTCATTCGTATTAATCACTCCGACACCTGACCAATTAGGTTCTAAGAAATTATCGTTTCATACGAAAGCTTGGAACCTGATTGGTCAGGGTGCGAGGCTTGATCGATGAGTCACTATTTTGGGTGAATCAAGGGCGAATGGACTATAATCTTAATCCAGTGCCCCAAAATGACATAGTTGTTGACATGGTATTATTTTAAATACAAGCACCTGCCACTTATAAGTAAAATCTTTAAAGCGTAAATGAAATGAAAAGCATTTTAGTTAAAAGTTAACATTTTTAAATAAAAGGGTTGAATTATAAACTTAAAGTTACTATCATCAAAGAGCAATAAATATAAAGACATTTAAAGCAACATCAGTAGCTAAATTATTTTCTGTAGTGGTAGTCTATAAATTTCGTACTCGTAATATTTGAAAGAAAAGGAAAAAAAAATCCCTTACAAAAATAGACAACCGTTATGTTTTCGGTACAGGTTTCTTTCAAATATATTCATTAGTAAATAAATAGTGATCTTTACAGCTTAAATTAAGTCCTACAGCTAAATTTCAGTTTCAATTAATTCAAATTAAGTTTATTACTGTTCGAAAGTTTTTTTTAATAAATGTAGTATTCAATGAAGAACGACGTTATCGCTACATTGTAGGTATAAATCCAATTGGAGACTAATATCGTACTTGAAATTTCATTTTCCCTTGACAGATGCGGTCATAGCATTTAACATACAGAACACACACAAACAAATTAATATTTATTATTTTACAATTTATAGGAGAGGCCTATGTCCAGCAGTGAACTGTGATAGGCTGATGATGATGATGATTTTACAATTATGTCATTGATAAATGAGATTGGCCGTCTTTAATTCTTGATATTATCGACTTACGTGGACTGCTAGCCGTAATAAAGTATCCATAGATGGGTAATATATCATTTTTATACTTGTATGTCAGCAGTAATTTGACTTTGTTTGGAAACTCATTTGCCTAAAGTGTACCCAGTTATAAGATAAACGCTGGTACTGGCATGCACAAACTTGGTAACACTGACAGGATCAAGGTGTTTATGGTAATTATCTAAGTGTTACTCGAAGAAAAGAAAGCTGTTAAAAAATTACGTCACTGGTTACTTATGTTAATAAATAGCCATAATTTGGATACATCTGATTGCTATCTATAGCAATGAGAGAGAAAACAGCATCCATTCTTATAAATATGTGTCAAGTATATCAAAAATGGTTATAAATTCGTTATTCAATTTAAGTGCAACGAAACCTAAGGTATATTTTATCATATTAACCATATAAACTATTAACGAATACTTCATTTACAGGTATAAATACTTATCTGAATAAATGATTCATTTCTAAATTTACTTACAAATGCATATAACCAACATAAATGAATTAATACCTAGTAAATGAAAATGAACTCGATAGTGAATTAATATAATGGTGAAAATATAATTAATGAATATGATTATATACACTACCTTAATCTAAGAACTGTAGATTAAAACATAAAATGGTCCAAACTACTAAATAACTAGTATTTGTATTGAATATTACTCGCAAAGTACTCCTTAAATTAATTTCTAGTCTATTGCTTCTACACTAATAAAGTCACTGGACGGCAATAAGAGTTACAGGGCACTTTATTCAGCCCAGAAATATTACACCACAAACATGCATTGCTTTATCACAGCGTATACTATTATATACATACCATAACTTAAGTAAAAATTACATTTTACACTATTTTACGAAGGAATTTCCAAAGCGACACAAGATATAAATCGGAGAATAAAATCAAACTGTAATTTGAACGAGGTTCTAAATCACATTGATAGAGGCTAACTCATCTGTATGATGTTCTACTTATGAGCAGGAAAATCATTCCTAAAAATGGTGAGTATGGTATGTGTAACTATTGTACGGGGATAACAAATGTATTCAAGGAAACCAATTAACAATGCTCTATAGGCTGCTCTAAGTCAAGTGTATGCATTTAAAAATTCGAAACACTAACTATTAACACTAACGCAATCTACGCACAACAATAATGAAATGTGACTTTTGACATGAAACAAAATCAATACCTGTGCTACAACTTATGTACCTAATTTGAAAGCCTTTCAAATATCTTATAATTTATTTCAATATAAGGTCATTTACACTAGTGTTAAAAATCTGTATCATACTCCGCCTACGACATTAATTGTCATAGATTACTTTTTGGTTAGTGGTAAAATGTAGGTTTATATTCTGTGGGATGCTTTGTATAAAAAATCGGAATGGAATAATAATTCATTACCTACTAGTCGCTTTAGCGTTTAGTAGGTAATGCCATTAGGATTAAATACTGTCTTTCAATTTAAACTCTTTCTGAATTTAATAAAATAATCCTAATATAATAAACCCTTCTGATAATCTATATTTTTTGTAATCAATTCTAATTTTTGTAATCCCTGCAAAAAACTACAGCAATTTGTCTTATTTACCGATATAATTTCAATAAATGATCACGTATAGCAGTTATCTTCATCTGCATGATCGCTACAGTCAATAGTGCCGTCGCAGAGTTGTGCGAGGGTGATACACAGACCGTCCACACACCGCAACTCTCCGCTGGGGCAAGGAGATGTATGTGCACGGCCCCACCCTTGTTTTCCAGATGCGTAATCACCACCGGAGAAGTCTTCATTGTCAATGTTCGTATTGTTGGATTCAAGAGCTTCTTCTCTATCCGCAGCAGCAGCCTCAGCAGCTTCAGCTGCACTAGCTTTCTGTAAAATTTAAAAGTATATAGTTATACTAGATTGCTGGTTCTTTATTTACTGCATTTTGCAATATGATTATTTTATTTTCAGTTACCCTCAGAAGCGCAGCTCCATCGATAACTTTTTGAAAGTTACTGGTCTCTTCAGTTAGGCGATTTACTGGTACGTCCGGCGCTTCGGTTGCAGGTTCAACTGGAGGTCGTTGTTTTATCATTCTTGGGTTAGGTGGTGGCACCACATGCAGAGGTTTGGCATGTGTAGGCATATTTTGGTTATCTTTTCCAGATTTTCCTTCTTTTTCGAACTCTTCAAAAAATCCCAAATCTCCCATATTAACGTCTTCAACTGATTCATGGTCTATTATATTTTTTGGTGGAGATTTAGGACTATTACGCGCTTCTAAAGTCAAAGATTCCATTTGCTTTTGTTTTCGTTCTTTTGGAGTAGTTTCGACGGGAATATAAGAGTGATTATAAGGTGTTAATCGAGATGGCGACGGCGTAACACTCCTTGTCGAAGCAGCAACATTATTGCTGTCACTAGTGACGAGTAGTTCCTTACTGCTATCCATTTCTCCTGGAAGGGAAATGTAGAAATTAGAATAAATTTATTTTATTTCTAAAAAGAAAATTGATAACTAGATTGCTGTTAGTATTGCTATTGCTAGTATTGCTGTTAGTTACTTGAATGTGTAACGTACCACGTAAACGATCAATGCGCCTGCGATGACCGTTGGGCAGTCTGTTTGGACGCTTGACGGCCGGTGCGGGTGCAGAGCCAGCAGACTCCTCACCTGGCTCACCTTGTCTGTCCGAAGGTACGCGTACGTGGCTAGCTCCACATATAGAATCACTCTCATCCTCACCCTCCGGACAATCAGCGTAACCGTCACATAGCCACCTATGCATGATGCACCCGCCAGATGGACACCTGCGCAAGAATAAATGTACATATTCAAGAATAAAATAAATAAATAAATACAGTGTCTGGGTAACACGTAAAGTGCGCATCACCATCTCATCTATTCTATGGTTTACAGTATTATTAGATAGGTTTCATAAAATATTGAGTGATTGTGAACATTTGATTTTATTTTGAATTGAGTGTAAACTTTGAAAAATAATTTTTTGTTAGAATCTAGTGCCTCCGTTTCCACCCACAAGGCTTAAAAACACTTGAGGAATTTAAAAAAAGTTGATATGGCAATATATTTATAACGGCTAAGTAAGGTCATTAAGTTTTACGAGTAGAGTTAAAAAAATGCTTAGAAGAAGTCATTATTTGTTTAAAACAGTTCAACACGTGACACTACATGCACTTGCACTTTTTGATAAGTTTTATTGATTAAAGTGACGAGAAAAATTATTATTATGCGACATTTGCTTTTTGTGCCTACGCAAACTACTCACAAAATTTAAGTACTAAACAAAAAGTTTTATAACAGCATTTTTTTAGATTTATAGCGTATTGTTTTGTGAATTAGTTGATTAACCCAAGTCTTCTAAGGAATAGAGTACAGGAACCAAAAATATCTTAAATAATATGGCTATGCGTATGTTTATATTTACTTGAAATCGGTTGGATCACATTGTGCACATTTTGCTTCATCTTCCCCGACCGAGCAATCGTTTCTACCATCGCAAATCCAATCCCGCGGTATGCACGATCCATCACCACACATGAATTCTCGAGTATAGCAGGGATTCCTCGCCGCTACGCAATTTTCGTGAGAGTACTGCTTGCATTGAAACGCCGCTGTCAGCTCCCGAGGAATGTGACCATCGCAATTGTCCACGATAGCTGTAATAAATATTTTATTATGTTTCTTAAAATATGTATGTATGTCTCTATTTAAAATATGTATGTATGTCTGTATTTAAAAGACTAATTAGTAATTTAATAATTTTATTTATTTTTAATAAGTATGAGGTCTACCAATAAGAACGTACTGGTTTAAACATTGAATAAAACACACATTTTTTATGAAAAATGCATCCGATTGATTTATTTGATAGATAATTTTATGCAATTTATGTTTTAAATAATATATCGGCCAAATGACCGCCGTGGCTCTTTTTGCAGACGGTCACCCGCTCACGCCAATTTTCGATGACGCGGTGCACCATTTCGGCCGGTATGTCGGCTATGGCTCGTCAAATGTTGGTTTTTAGGTCGAGAATTGTAGCTGGATTATTTCTGTACACTTTAGATTTAACGTAACCCCAAAGAAAATAGTCTAAAGGTGTTAAATCACACGATCTTGGTGGCCAACTGATCGGTCCATTTCTCGAAATTAACGACTCACCAAACTTTCCAGGCAATAATTCCATGTTCACTCGAGTAATGTGAGGTGGTGCACCGCCTTGTTGAAAATAAAGGTCGTCTGCATATGATCGTCTGATGATATTGAATCATCAAATTCCGGAAAGTAATATTCGGTTAACCGATGTTAACCGAATATTTCTTTCCGGAATTTTATAGTTATAGCGCTCGCCATTCACAGTAACAGGGTTTCCTTCGTCACTTTCAAAGAAGTACGGACCAATGATTCCACCGTACCATAAACCGCACCAAACTGTTATTTTTTGCGGATGCAAAGGTGATTCATGAACCACAAGTGGATTTGACTCACTCCAATAGCGACAATTTTGTTTATTAGCAAATCCATTGAGCCAGAAATGGGCCTCATCTGAGAAGATGATTTTACGATGAAAATCGTCATCGGCTTCCGTCATTTCCAGTGCATAATCGGCAAATTCATGACGGATACAATGGTTGGATGGCTACAATTCTTGTGCCAAAACAATTTTGTATGGGTGTAGGTCCAAATCCAATCGCAAAATACGCCAGGTGGTCATTGGAAAGAGCCCCAACTCTTGTGAACGGCGTTGAACTGATCGATTTGAATTCGCATCAACACTGGCCTGAACGGCTGCGATATTCTCTTCACTACAGGCATTTCTTTGTCTCACAGGCACGGCAGCATCGTGGAGAGTGAATTCACTTTCAAATTTTGTTATTATGCGATTTATAGCACGCACAGAAGGAGCACTATGACGACCGTTTTTTGCGCGAAGCGCTCTTACTATAGCGGTAGGAGAACGCGAATTTGCGTAATAATTTTGGACAATTTCCAAGCGTTGGTTTAAAATGAAACGTGACATGATAAAATGGCAAACCTTACTGAACACAAATGTCAAGAGACGTCAAAGATCCATCATCAAACATGGCCGCTATGAGCTGTCAAAACCAGGTCATCCCTATTGGTAGACCCAGTAATTTTATTTTAAATATGAAGAATTGTATTGTATTAATTGTCGAAGGGTTTAATTCCAGCACTATCAACCTGGGACTGGAACCTATGATATTGTCTTATCTTAGCGATACTCAACTGACTGTGTTACGTGAAGAATACGGCACTAGAATTACGTTGCGGTCCCGATCGAGTCTTAATGAGATCAGGCCGCCACCTTATCCCGCACCGCAGTTACCCTAATCTGCAACCAGAGGGCCCCCTACTCCAGCGGCCCGAGGCCCGTCTTCAACGCTTGGAATCGACCCTCTCCCGAACCAATAAAGCGGTCTTTTTTTGCATAACAGCGTCACAAAAAGAGACCACTGCGCCCCAGCCCTCCTCACCTGCCAGTGTAGCAGTTATGATTGTCATCTATCATCTCAGCTGAAAGACGTCCACTGTTGGACATAGGCCTCCCCCAAGGTTCGCCACAAAGACCGGTCCTGTGCTGCCCGCATCCAACGGCTTACCGCGGCCTTCATCAGGTCGTCGGACCACCATGTGGAATGCCTACCCACGCTGCGTTTTCCAGTACGCGGTCGCCACTCGTGAACTTTGTGGCCCCATCGGCCATCGTTTTGGGACCAATGTCCGCCCACTGTCACATAAGTTTGGCAATTCTCTGGCCAATGTCGCACAGGCACGGCAAGGACAACATCATTGATTATTTCCTTCTTCGTCGACATGATGAAGTCGATCTCATTTTTAGTTACACTATCGGGGTTCATCCAGGTCTATTTCCTATGCTCCCGCTGCCGGAAAAAGGAGTCATGTCATGGCAGTAAACGGCCACGGCAGTGATGATTGCAACACTATAATACCTAGTTTGCATATTACGTAGCTATAATATTTTTTGTGCTTACCTTTACAGAGGTTGTAACATGGTTTTTTTGGTGTGTATGGAGGGGGGTTACATTCAGGCTCGAGCAAGGCGCAAACAAAATGTGTGACGCGATCACTGCAGTTGGTAGCGATGAGATAATCGATCTGCGGGATCAGCGATGTGATGTCTACGTCACCCACTTTCGCTGCAGCACCTGCTAAGTCGTAAGGTAGCACTCCTCGACACAGCGCCATACGAGTTGAGCGGCATTGAACTGAAAGTTAGAAAAACGTATCGGTTAAAAATGGCCACAATATTAATTATTATACATTATATTAAAAATATATTTGTAATATTCTAAAACAGAAACTTTACTGATTTCCAGTCAGTACCATGAATCCAGAATGAATTACTTAGAAAAAAAAAATGGTAAGTCAATCATGAAGGGTTAAATCGCCTAAGAGGGAATGTTAGTTGTATTGAACTAAATTACTTATGTTTCTATTCGCTTTTCGTTAAAATGTTTTAGCTTTAAGTTTTTATGCGACTTAAAGAAAAATCACAAATTAGAGTGGTTGCAGATATTGTGAAATATTTATGCAATACCGCATATATGTACGTGTATGTTATAGCATCCTAAAAGGGGGCGAAATCTTGTAGAGAAAGCAAATAAAAAGGTGCTATCGGTGTTATATTTTTTTATTAAATGTTTCCAATGGAGATTTTTTTTTGTTTTATTAGATTATAAAAACAGTCATAATGACAATATTGCTGTCTTTCAATCTAAATAGAACTACTAACTTTATATCAATTTTCCTATTAGAACTTTCGACTTTTTTGTTATAAAAGTTAAACATAAAAAAGCAAAGCACACATGCGAAGCTCGGGATCAAGAATGCACACCATCCACCTGTGAGATACGTACTCAAAATTAACAGAATGATGTTTTCAAACCACATGCGCCCGTAATATTTGGTGGCTAAACTTACCATCCGAATAGATATTAGTCGGATAATACTTTGTAGTTGCGTCATCTTTTTCACGCCAAGTCGGGAGTGTAGGAGACACTCGTGTATTATATAAAGCGCTTTGTGTAGTAGATTGCATTTTTTCAGCATCTTCTATAGAAATACCGAAAAGCTTAGAATGACCTGAAGTAAAGCTTACATCAATTCCTGGAAGAGGACGATTCAAAATATTTCGCTCTTTAGCAGAATACTCCGATTCGGGATTGGTTTCATCATTTCTGTAGATATCCTGTTCTGTTACAGGTATTAAGTCTTTAGGCTCAGATGCGATATATCCTTGATAAATAGAGGGATCTGTATTTTCCGAGTATTCTTCAACGTTTTTGTTTGCTTGGTTTTGGTCATAGTTGAAATATTTAATCGTGGTTTCCTTTCTACTGATAGTCTCTGTTGTTGCGCTGGTAACATCGTCGTTCTCTTTGAAGTATATTGCTAAAGGTTTTTCAGGCTTCTGAGTAATATGTGGTTTTAATGTTGAATCGTCGAGAGTAAGATCATCTAATGCTTTAGCAGTTCGTTTTTCTGAATCAGCTTTCTCGTTGCCATATTGAACTTCCGGTGTAAGGTGAGTAGGAAATACAGGAGATATAGGCAGGTGTCTTTTCAGATTAGTTTCTGATATAAAATCGGTCCTGACAGGCAGGTCAGCGTTTATATTGTTCTCAGGATTGTAGAAATCTATTTCAGAAGTTTTGGTACCTGCAAATATGTCTTTACAAATATTCTTTGTACGAATAAAGATTTATTTAGGAATTATAAGGTTTTTTAGGTTTTGATCTCTTTTAAAATCCTTTATGTATTAGGTTACCCGTAAGATTAAGGCCATTGAGATAAATAGATTCTGATAGTGGCACAATACACTTACATGAACATAAGAATAGACAAATTAGGGTTAAAAACAAAATTATACATAGATAGGAACTGACACATTGATAGGTACTCACAAATAATAGGTATAGTATTTTAGAAATAGTTATAGGTATAAATAGATGAAAATCCAAATTCGTTACAATAATAAAAATCTGATTGAAGAACTACAAAACACTTTAATGGACAATTGATAATCGGAAAGTGTTTAATACATATCCTAAATACTTAGTGTACATAGACGAAAACCAATTCAATGAAACTTTATTCAGAATAATACTATATTCATCCATACCTAGGTTGTTAGTTCCATCGTTGCTTTCAGGGTTTTGAGTGTCAGAACCATATTCCTTACGGAGTCCTATTCCAGCTGAAACCGGTTCCCAATAAGTCGAATTCCCGGCTGAACCCGAATCCGTGTTATCTGGAAAATAGAGAGTTAAAGTTCAGTTAAGTAGGGGAAGATAACCACTCCTAGTACGGAGGGCACGTCCGTATATAAGCCATTCAAAAGAGGTTTTTTGTATAACGCTGTAGCTCAGCGTATATCCTGCTATCTCAGTTAACATACTCGTATATTACACAGTCGATTGGTTAAGAGCTTGATAAGTATTTTATTCACACTTTTAATGTCGTGTTGTGCTTATTATAGATTTATTTTAAACTTCATGATTTAATAGATAAATTAAAACTGCTCCAGTCAGGTCATGAATATTATAAATAGTTCAGGAATCGAGTCTAACTGCTTTACTGAGCTTTTCCTGAAATTCAGTTTCCAAAACCTATAATTACTTAAATTGTCTTTAATAAGTAAATTTTTACCTCGATGATTGATTACGTACTTTAAATGAAGACTATATTTTTATGATTAAATTACAAATGTATAGTTTCAGATTTTTCCTTTTACTTGTAGTATAAGACGATGTTACTTGCAAATTTTTTAGTTCTAGGTCAACGGGCAGTACCCTTTTTTTTGTTTGTGCGGAAATCCCCTCGGATACCACCCACTGGTGGTTTGTCGGATATAAACCGACCAAAAACCGCATGCCGTCTCGGGCACCAGTAGCCGGGCAACCAGGTGTACCCTAGGAAGGAAATCCCTGGAACCCCGACGGACCCCGGGCCATCTACGGCTTGTAGATGATCCCCTCGTGTGTGGGAACCACGGTGTTCCCCTTCTACAATCTAAAGGGCTAAAGCTCTACAGAGCGTTCGCCGCCAACCCGGCCTGCTTCTGCTAGGGTGACAGATGGCCTTACCTGTCACCCTCAGGCTTGAGCTTATGGAGAACGCCGGAGGTCGTTTTGCGACCTCCGGCGCTTGAGTCTCCTTCGGTACCTTTTTTTTTTTTTTTTTTTTTTTTTTTCCGTGCGGAAATCCCCTCGGATACCACCTGTCGGTGGCATGTCGGACACGAACCGACTAAAACCGCACGCCTTCGCCGGGTACTAATAGCCGGGGAACCAGGTATACCCTAGAAAGGAAGGCCCTGGTGCCCCGACATACCTCGGGTCATCTACAGACGAGTAGACGACCCCCGCCCCGTGTGGGAACCCCATGTTCCCTGTGCTCCCTGGAAGCGAGCGCGCTTCGCAACGCGCTCGCCGCCACCCCGGCCTGCTTCTGCTAGGGTGACAGATGGCCTCACCTGTCACCCCCAGGCCTGCGCTTATGGAGGACGGAGGTCGTTCTGCGACCTCCGGCGCCTGAGTCGCCTGCGCTGCCTGGCTCCTTCGGTACCTGGCCCGTTCTCGACCCTGACGGACTAGGAGAGTTCTAAATCATGGTACTAAGCGAGAGAATTCATACTCCGATGGCCGTAACGAGGCCACGCCTCTACTCAATCCACGCCGGGCATTCTGCCAGCGTGTGGAGCGCGCCGTCCGCGTTCAGGCCATCGCAGTGGTGACACTCAGGCGTTGGCTCCTTGCGGATCAGACACAAGTGATCCCCGAGGCATCCTTTGCCCGTGATCACCTGCGTCGGACGGTATGAGAGGGTCCCGTGTTGCCTCTCGAGCCAATCCTCCATAACAGGTCTTACCGCCGCAATAACGGCGTGCCCGAGCGGCAAGTACTCTATGAATTTTGATTCCTTAGACAGTAATCGAAATATGCGTTTTTTTGCGGTATGAACGGCCGTATCATCTTTTTACGTTAACTTAGAAGTTTCAATTTTTTACAGCTTCATGGAACTGTAGACCTGAATATATGTATGGTTTTAATTTAAACTCGATACCTCCACGCGTTCCCGAGATAAAGGGTCTTGACAGACAGACCGACGGACGGACAAAGTGTCGGTCGGACAACAAAGTGCAAACCCCATAAGAGTTCCTTTTGAGGTACGGAACCCTAAAAAGGGGTAAAACAATACGAATGGATGGCTCTAAAGGCAAGCGAACTTTTCTATCAGTTAAATATGCGTATAGAGTAAGTATCTAAGGTCTACACTATTACAAGTTATTTGACATCACAGTAACAACACAGTCTTCGCAGTTGTTTCATATTGATTTGCTAAACGATTTCGTTAGGTGTCTCTAAAAGTCAGTAAGGTTTATTAAATAAATAAGAAGCGTAGTGACGGAAACCGATGCGGAAGGTCGCTTAACCTCTGGAAGAGGATCCCCGTCGGGTCCGAGGAAAGGCTAGTTACACACGCGAGTAAAACCGTTTATCTATACTAATATTATAAAAAGATAAAGTTTGTGAATTTGTATGTTCGGGATAATCGCAGGAACTATTGGTTCGAATTCAAAAAAATCTTTGAATGATGGATAGCCCTTTAATCGGTTAAGGATATAGGCTATATCCTTTTACAGACTGCATAAAATTTGCTCTGGGAAGAAACGCGGAAACAAACCACAGAGGTGTCTTTTTTTTAAGTCCGTGTACAATGTTAAAGAGAACTATGTGAGTGCAGTCTAGGGTCTGGGTTTGGGACCATAGTATTGAGTCGGCCCGTCCATACAGATGGCATAGGAGCCCCAGACATTGTATAGCCTAACCGATATAGTCGGGATCAACGACCCGGAACACGACACTACCGTCTGCAGGACACTTGAGTGGGCCGTGGAAACACTGAAAACCACCAGAAAGTTCTTAAAATATAAACTAACATTACAAGCCATTACACTACTAACATTTACATACTTACACAAAAACAATATACTATACTATTCAATTTCAAATAAGCAACATTACGTTACATTACTATTTAAAAAAATAATATGTATAAATTATTATCCACTATTGGTGGTAAATTAAGGGATGCAGTGAGTAACATTTCCGTGCAAAAAGTCTATTTTTGAAATTCATTATAACGTTTTGCGTAATACTCTGAATTCATATACCTACATTAAAACAGTGTGGTTATAGTAATTGGTTTGTATGTCTGAAACAAATAATTTATTAATGTTTTTTAAATATGCAGGTCAAGATTTTTTAACGGTTTTGTAACCTAACAGTTTTTTAAATTAAATTAATAACCAATAAAATATCTCAACTAAATTAAGCATTCCTAAGTCATAACAAGAGTACTTCATCATCATTTGAATACGAAATAGGAAGTCGTAAGAAAAACTGATACAGAGATCAATGTTTATTAACCCGAGGTAGTACATGTTAACGAATTTTGCACTTCATTAATCTCAAAAAATAAATCGAATATTCACATTCACTGCAATCGTAACTAATCAAATCGATATTCTAGTTTAGTTTATGACGATATCTGCATATTGACGAGATATAACGAGAGTTTGACGAACTGTCTTCACCTACAATTATGTGTAAGATTCTTTTGCATTCTTTTTATATTAGAAAAAATATAAACCTTTTGAAAGTATGTTGTTTGCGCACTATTTTTGTCTTGTTTGGTGAAACTCTGTTTTATTATTTCTTCAAGGGTTTTGGTAATTACTTTATTTTTTTGTTGTTGTTAGGAATATGGTCGTTTCTGAATTATGATTATCATATTAGTGCATTATATTATATTAAAATGTTTTTATTATTAATTGGCACTAATAATACTTCAAAATTACTTTACGTGTATTGCTCTAAAAAAAGATTCTGGCTAACGTCTTACATATTTCAGTGAACTTAATTTCTGAAGTTTATTTAGCGGCAGCAGACTATCAAGCAACTTTATCAGTGTACATTGGTATAGTTACTTGCAAATACTGTACATACCCTCAAACGATAAAAATCTACAATAAAACCAACTTCCACGGCCACTAAGATATTTGTTCTCCGTTATATAATTTTAAGGACCTACAAACTACAAATAATCATTAAGACTAAGAAAGAGAGATTAAGAGTACAAATAAACTCATGGACATCGAGAGTAACAAGGGTCAACAAAGATTTTCTAGCTGATGCATGATATGATGCTATAGCATAACGTGCTTAGTGCGTACGTAAATCCAGTAGCATAGTAGGAAGGAAGCACCTCGAACGAGTCGAGTGCAATAAGGGCAACGATGTATTCAACTGTTGTTTAGCAGGCTGCTTGCTGGCCGAGTTTCATGTATCGTAATCTTAGGCCTCCTTTCTAAGGAGAGGCTTATGTCCAGAAGTGGACTATTAAAAGCTGTTGATGATGATGAATCTTAGAAGTCTCTCTGTAGAATTGTTGGAAAAAAAACTCAAATAGAGGATATAAACAGGAGTTAATTCCTCGATGCACAAGATTTTGTTGTTATCTACATTATACTAACTACAAGTGTATATAAGTGTCCCCAAACCATTCGCCACCAACAGGGGAAGATAGGAACAAACAACTTAATATTAATGTATTTTCGATTCTGACAGTAGATATGGATTTTCGCTTTGACACTTTTGAAACTTAAAATTTGCTACAAATCACCAGCCTTGTTGAGATGGGCCCTAACAGAGAGTGAAGATGCCGGTGAAAGCTTGGTTCAAGATGTCATGGTACGGCACTCCTCCGCCGTGTCAACCTAGTATCACCATTAATCCTTATCATGGTTGCACAACATTCATACATAACTAATGTGGTTGTGGTAGTATCGAGGTTCGCTCCCGTTTCGACGAGTCTCAGTGTCAAAGGTGACGTGTTTGTTACCGAGTTTTGAATAATGCAAAAGTATTTTTAAATTATTTAAAAAAAATCTAAATAATTCTATTTGCGGAATGCTTTGTGCATTGTTGTTGCATTTACTGGTAGTAACTTATATTAGCAAGAGAACATATCAACAACTTACTATCCTAACTTACTATCATTAAACTGTCAAGTAACTATTGATTGCACGGATGGCGTAGTGGTTTAAGCGGTCGCCACGCTGCTTATTGCTACGCTGAGTGTTGTGGGTTTGATCCCCACATGGGACGACACTTTGTGTGATCCACAAATTATTGTTCTGAGTCTGGATGTTCTTTGTGTCCTTTTCATGTGTGTTTGTAAAGTCCG